TCTTTGGGGTGGTCACTCCATAGACGAGTCTCGGGTCAACATGCATTTGGTGAACGGGGGTTCCATCAACCATCACCTCACGCGTACCTGGCATCAACAACGGTCTTAGCCCTCCTGGGGCTTTCGGCAACGGAACGTCACGCCTCGTCGGGCTTCCGACTGCAAGTACCGGCCTTGATGCCAATGTGTTCTCCCTGATGGTCGCTACACTAGGTGGGCGTTCAGGAGAGGGATATAGATGCCGTTCATGCGGAGGTGGTTCAAACAAATCCGGGCCATTGTTGGGCTCATCAAGTGTGTTCCGACAGTTCCAACAACTTCCTCGACCAGAAACATTCTGGTTTCCACAAACAGGGCAATATACAACGTTCAACGGAGAAGCACTAGCTACGCTTGGGGCACGGCCACCTAGCTCCGATGCAGTGTCGAAGAGTCTGCCTACGTTTGGGGAGGACCTCAAAGCATCAAGTTCGTGCAAGAGCTGTTCAATCCTCTCATCTTTCTCGGCCATGACTCTCTCTGCTTGTTGTCTCATGTGCTCTGTGCTCAACAGTGTGGCTTGTTGCGATGCTTGCATGTGCATTGCTGCTTGTTCGCGGACTCGTTGCACTTCTCTATTTGCTTGCTCAGCCACCTGTGTGGCTTGTTCTATTGCTCGCGCATGCGCTTGTGCAGAGTCTTGTGCGATGATAAGGTCCCTCTGGGCCTGTTCTGCCAAATTCTGTTGTCTGAGCACCTCTTGCTGGGCTTCCCGAGTTACTTGTGATACCCTTTGTTGGGCTTCCGACGATATTGCCTCTTGTTGCTGCTGTATGGAAGTGTGGTACTGTTGCTGGAGTTGTTGTGTGTACTGCTGTCTCTCAACCGACACCTGCATGGCAACCTTCTCTCTCTCAGCCTTGACATAATCTTGGACAAGCTGCTCAAGGATGTGAGGTGGAATGTTACTCTGATTGAGTACATTCAAAGTACGATGATCATGCAAATGCATCTCTGGCCCTTGTCGGGGTTCGCCATGTTCTGGGGGTTCCTCCACCACTGGGACAGCACTGGACCTGCCCCTTCCCTTCTGAACCATCTGTCCTCCCGTCAATGCCAAGTTGCTTGAACTCGACGGATCCGGATTCTCCATGCTCTTGTCTGGGGAATCCTGGGGCGGAGATGAAGATGAAGTGGTGTAAGCGCTATCCCCTGGGCCAACGACCCTGAAAGGTGTGGCTGGAGTGATTCTCTTCATTCAACTTCGACGACAATCAACTCTCCAATGCAAGTTCTATGAATCTTCTCAATCAACGGAGCAATGTTCAAAACACAAAAATACACAAGAAAGCTCGACTCTCTCTCAACAGAAAGCTCACCAACACGAACCGCACTTTTGTTGCTGCACGCGGAGCTGTGTCCGCGAATTTGATGCTCGTCACGCGCAAAAGGCAGCGAATTTTCGACGATCGCGCGAGGCGCGAAGCACTCAACGCAGCTGAACTCAAGTCAACCAACGATCCACAACTGGCAATGCTTCCGACCAAACTAAATGAACAACGCTCAACTGATACGAGATCCTCAATGCACCAAGTCCTTCTCAAAGATCACGCAGGTCCTCCGGCACCGGCACTGATCTCATGTCCTTTCCAAGCTCTTGAATGAGATCGTACAACTCTGCCAATGCGTTCTGCGGAGTGCTGCCTGCACGGATGGTCCTGGTTCGATGAGCTCTCGGGCGACGCGACTGAACTTGCAACACTTCTCTCAAAAGCTGAGGCTGGTCGTCAATGTAAATGATCGCTCCAGACAATGCTACAAGTTTCGCCTTCGGATGAAAGTGCCCTGTCACCGACCTTCCGTGGTACTCATCCGCTAGCAGTTTCTGGCGTGTGATGATCTTGTCCGCAAAAACAATGCCGGCCTCCTCTTCGATCCGTGCGAGATCTGCCAATGTATCCCTCTGGGTCTTGAGGTTCGAAGCAAACGACACAACGATCAACTGGAACCCGAGGGATCGGGCTTCTCGGAGGCACGCAATGCTGCTGTGCGACAACGGTTGACCTGGGAATCTCAACGTCTTGTGATAATCTAGTGCTATCACTGGAGCACTCCCGTACGTGGGGTCAAGAGGCTGTGGCAGCTCTCCCTCACGCTCGATCACCGGGCGCTCAACCTCAGGATGAGGTTCCCTGTGGGATGCAGATGACGATGGCAACGGTGAAGGAGGTCTTGGGGGTGTTGGCACTCGCACCTCAGGCGATCCTTTGGGTCGCGGCTGCAGCCTCACCGGTCGCACCGGTTGTGTAAGCTGTGGCCTCTCTGCGGCCTGATCTTCAAGTGCAAGCGGGGCCTCTGCTGGCCGTGGAACCGATGCAGCTCTGGGCTCAACGGGTGGAGTGCGATGTCGGACTGGTGGCAACGGCGGGCGTGGTAGAGCTTCAAGCTTCTGCTTCTTTCGATCCGCCGGTGCTGCCTCTCCCGACTCCTTTCGCCCCTTCGACTTTGCAAATGCTTGAGTTCTTGCTTCTGTCTGAGGTGATAGCGACGACTCCTGCGGCGAGGTAGTTGACGACGGCCTCGATCTCGTGCCCCTGAGTTCCTTGGCCTGCTCTCGCAAGTGCTTAGCCCCTTCCCTGAGAATCCGTCTCGCCTGCCGGCGGGATTCCGGCGTGGATTCCTCAGCGGTTTCAGGGGTGGGTGCAGCCTCTGTCTCGGCTGTCTCCGTTGGCGGAACAGTCTGCTCCTCCTCGGCCTGCTCAACCCTTACCTCGACAAAATCCGACGCTTCACCGCGACCTGTGGCACGCGATTGCTCTTCCCTCTCTTCCGTCTCGCAATCAACACGCTCAACCGACGGAGAAGCACGCGACACAACTTCAGGTGGAGATTCAACGGGCCTCCAATGCTCAGGTCCGGCAAGATCTCTCGGATCAGGATCTGGAATCCACACCCACGCTTTCTTCCAGTAGCCACCCCGCGTAGGCGGGTCCGCGACCGGAGGTCCCGACAATGGGGCTGATCCTGCTCCTTCCTCTAACTCCTCTGACTCTTCGTGCTCGGCCTCCTCACGCTCCTCAGCAACAACACGCCTCGGAAGACTTCTGTGAGACACAGTTTCTGTGACTCCAGGTGGTGGCCCGTGGGGCAGTCTTGGAGGTCGTCTCGGGCTTGAAGAGGTCTCAACGGAAGGCGGATTCGCCGGCTCACGCGGTTGCCGACGATCTGGAGGTGGACCCGACGGCTCAACTGGCCTTGAACGAGCGTAGTACTTCGACTCTGGCGGTGGCGAAGAACCTCTGGTCCGATGCTCCACCTGCAACCCAACACGCTCACGATACCTCTGAGAGGGGCGATACGGGTCACCGCCCCTAGCCCTTCTCTCACGTGGCCGTGACCGATCAGCAACCGATCGCGAGCGGTCCATTCGCGCTGAGGCGCGAGCAAGGGAGCACTAAAGTGTAGTTGTACTTGGTCTTGATCAATCAAACAACTATGTCCTTGGCCTACAAGACAATGAGTTGAACTCTCAGTGCACTCTCTGGTCTCTCTCTGTTCACACGATCCCGCAGCTCAGGGTGTCTCTGCTGCGGCTGATAACCAGTAGATTCTTGGATCTGTGTATATATGCTTCCAAATGTGAGCAATGTACAGCAAAAGTCACGATACGATGCAACGAGCGATCGAACCCAGGCTGCCGCACAAGTTTCCTCTCACACTTGAGCCAAACGAAGTTTGTGTTTGACTTCTGTCTCTGATGTCTATACAGCAGTGCTTTCACTCAAGGTTACGTGTAACGGTATGGCATTGTTGCCACTGCTATTCCAGAATGCCATTGCAAACTGCAATGCAATGCTTACACACAGCATCAATTTCCAATGCTACCAAGCAAGGGGAAAAGCTGGTAGCCAATGCTATCTCTCACATGTTACAAACCATGGTTCTAACCGAGGGTGGTTTTCTCTTCATGGTGAAAGTTCATGGCCTGGATGCCATGCCTTCTGCAGAACGTTCTTAACAAAAAGGACACTGCTGGTATGTTAAGAGCAATGTGGTACCTGTGGTTTTAACGCGGCCCCGACAAACCCAAAAATACAATTTTGCCTCAACAAAGGGCAGAAACGAGCCCTCATTGCTGCGCTGCCACATAAAACCCGAAATATGACAATGCAACAAAGCATGGCAGGCAACTGCAATGTCTGCAACTGTTTGGAGGTAACTCGGGAACTTTTTTGGAAACTGGGCTGGAAGTTAAAACAGGTAGGACAAATGCCTGAGGCAACCAAGTACTACACTTGGGGCGACATCCGCACATCTGCCATGAATGTAGACAAATCGGAGTGCCTGCCAAAAAATCTACTCTTCAATGCTTCAACACAAGTGCCTGCTACTAAAATGGGAAAGTGGAAGGCCGGGCTTTTGCACGAGACCCCAACAATTTTGAGATCAACGGATTTATCAATCTGTGCTTGTCGCAATCTGAACCTTGTAAGGCATATCAGCCATATTGAAGAATATAGTTTGCTATTAGGTTGGAGGCCATCGCTAGTAGGGGTAGGCCGTCGATTCTAGGTTGGAGGTCATCGCTAATAGAAACAAAGCAAAAAGATGATGGAGAGACTGAAGGTAATCTGCACCTCGAAGCGCAACGCATCCAAATGTGAACGCTGAACCATCGACGCATGTGGAACCTGTTGTGCGTGCCAGTTCAAAAATGCATGCGGCACCACGGTGAGCCCGGCACCCTAGATTCTGGAGGGTGAAAACCTGGCACAGAAACCTCACACTGACCGTAAGATCTTTGGCACCTTGTTTGTGCCAGCGTTTCGCTCCATGAATTCGATGCCCCGATGGTGCACAGCACAACCGTGCGCCAACCTCATGCAGCGTGCCTTCGCTGCTAACAAAAACACGATGCCAGTGGCAATTCAACGACGTATTACCCAACACGCAAGACAAACAATGTGAAGAACCAAATGCAAACATGGTTCGCGCTCAATGAACAACCAGCCGCGTCTTTTGTCATGCAGAACTCGAGGCCGTTGTTTCGGAACAGCTTTGCTGCGCCACGTCGATGGTGAGAAAAGCAGCGAAATAAGCAAAGGCAACGCAGTTCTGCGTCGACGCTGCCAATTATATAAGTCTGCTCAAAGACCAATGTCCTTCATCCCTCTGGTGGGGTGAAGGGTGTGACCCGCAAGCCGCCGAACATGTACTTAAAGTCACCAAACTCCATCCAGAATAGCCCGTCGTCCTGGAACCACCGCGGCAACAGAGATGCTAAGAACTGATAGCAACAACCACAACTACCCCCCACCAATACTACAAGGGAACAGCAGTGGCAAAGGAAATTTCCAAGGAAGATCAGAGGAAGCATCAACAAAAGAGCTTTGGGAAGCCTGACGAATCTGATATAATCTGACAGCGAGGATTGGCCACGGACCTCTGTGTACTTGGAAGGCGGCGAGTGCCGCGCACCGATCGGTTTTGAGAACATGCCACGTTCTGAACCCTCCTGACTCAAACGTGAAGGGGCGCTCCTGACTCAAACGTTTGCAAGCCTCGTCCACTTTAGGGTGCGCTTGCCATTCGTCACCCAGATCACTCCAGGGGCCCAGCCACTCAGATCTGCCCCATGGGTTGCGGAGACACACCAAGCCTCGGATGGAACCAAGAAGAGGACCTGTTTGATCTGTTCGCTGGGCTGCTTCATGCTCAACGATCCTGACCGGGCCTCTGAAGTACAAACAAGAAACGCCAACCATCCATCTCTTTCGCATCCAAGAATGCGTAGGAATGGCTTGAGTGCAATCCATTGCCTTGGCAAATGTAGGAGTTCCACTGACTACAACCAAATGTTTGCTTGAACCCGAGCTCCAATTGAGCAACTACTTGCAAGTTTTGGGCGTGGCCAAAAAGGACGTACAAAAAACAGTGCATTCTGGATGTCTTGGTGCCCCTTGTGTCATGCAACGTGTGCAGCAGTGTGGTGGGTTGTGGTGCGCTGCAATGCGATTCTTGATGATGCCAGTGAGGTAGGAACAGGTTGAATCACATGAATTCATTCTAAACATGTGGCGTGGTACAAATTCTGCGATGAACATGGAGGTGTGGGAAGCCACTTTTTGTGGCAGCAAATGCGACAAGCTCCGATTCAACGCCAATTTGTCTTGCAAAGCGCACATCACTGAATGGGAGATTTGCCAGCAACTCAAAAAGAAAAGGAAACCAACACAAGGCCCACAATCCTCATCCGGAAAAACAAACAACAGTTCTCAAGTAAATTCCCCTATTCAAAGAAAGGGGTCCACACATGTTTCAGCACAAAGGCCCATAACCAGGTTGACCCTTCCCCCCTCTCTTCTGTTTTTGTCTGACCCTTTGGAGTGGGAAGACCTGTGGCCCCAAGCCGGCACAGACAACCCAGCCCATGCCAAACAAACTAATCACCCAAGGAAAACAAGACTAGCCCTTGGTCAACAAGTTACAAGGCCGCAACGAGAAACCATCCCCGGACAGGTGATTGCGGTCTACACCTTTTTTCCTTCTAGATCCAAGGGTCTTTGACGCACAAAGTGTCCACGTTGCGCACCTTCTTCACCTGCTTTAATCCAGGCGTTCTTCTGGCCTTGCAGTTTTGGACCTCTTTATATATACAGCTGCAAGCCAGCTTCTAACATTTCTCCCCAAAAAACCCTTTAAATTTTTGCAAGTCAAACCTGACTCTGTTCACTGGATCGAACCTGGATAGATCATTGTTGGTCAAAGCATCCGGCTCGACATTTTGCAATCGTGGCAACCAATGAAGATCCAACCGAACCCTTTTCACATGTAGTTGGAGTGCAAGGTCCATAAGAACGGCGCATAACTAGGTTGTCAGCAATCTGGACACCACAAGTGTGTTACCCTTGTTATCTGTACCAGCTGAACATGACACGCGCTTCGCACTTCGCACTGGAATCTTCTACTCCAAAGGCAACAACTGCAGCCCAGGTAGACACTAGCTCCAGGGAGGCAATGGGATCTGGCTTCCGAAAGCCCCAGCGACCCAGTCTTCAAATCCAATGTGAAGCCAACTCAGGATAGCTGTAAACCACCGCAAAACTTTTTCCAAGAAAAGGGAAGCCCTAAAATGACAAGGAAGAAGATTGACACCAAAATCTTTTCAATACAACCTTTGTCCCGTGTCAGCCAGAAGAGGTCATCAACGAACACCAACATAGCCATTTCAGCATAGACCAGTCGGCCCAAGCCTGACATGAGGCGGCTCCAATGATAGGCAGCGCTGCTTACCCCAAATGTGCCGACTTTTTTCAGCCATAACCACTCGCCGCCACGTGCGCCAGTCCTGCAGGCTTGCAGCCCCCAATCCTGCCAAGCCACCTTGACCAAACGATGCGCGCGCTTCGCATCACCCTGTTAAAGCAAAAGATGCTCCTGGCAAGGCTTGCAAGAAGGTTCTCAAATCTCCAGCAGTTGGGTTTCTCAATTGGTCTCGCGCATGGATACGAGTTTCACATCAGTCCCATGTGTACCGTCGTGAAAAAGCCGGTAGGTACCATCTTTCTTCTCGATTGCGCCCAGCAATGCTACAGCAAGATTGCCGAACTCGGTCTTTGCCTCCTCCAATCGCATTTCTACCATTGCTCCAATTGCTCTGCTTCTTGCGCGAACTGCTCTTGGATGATCTGCGACTGTTGCTGCGCAGAAATGTAGTTTTCGCCCGAAGACAGCAGGCACACGTGGTAGCTTTACCCCCACTCCCAAGCGTACGGCAAAAGATTGACTCGAGCTGCAAACTGCTTTGTAGTCAGGAACGACAAAAATTCGCAAACGTTCCTCAATTGCGGCCAAATAAAATTGCTGGTCACAAGAACGCTCACGAACATCCAGCACGGCGCCAGCATACTCTAGAGCTAAAACCATCAACTCCCGCTGTGATATTGGCTGCGAATGGACATTCCGCTATCCGACCAGTTGCCAACTCCATTGTAAGACGTCTCACATCAAATCTCTCACGCAATAGCTTCTCTAGCTCAACTCCGACGGCCTCCATGAACTTTACCACAGGCGCGTCAGCAGAACTCTTGCGCATTTATGGGGAAGCCACCGCCCCGGCGAGCATAAACCAAATCCGTCAGAAAATGCTCTTTGCTTTCCCATCATCGACGAAGTCAACGGTGGACCTCGGAGCCCAGCAAACTCATCCTCATCCTCTTCCAAGCTGATGTCCCCGCTTCCCCTGTCTTTTCCCATTTCCAGTCTGCATCAGCCTTGCCAGACGAGCCATCGCTCTCAATGCCAGGATCACACTCCATCTGCGATTCCACAGCCCCATCCGCAGGCGCCAGATGGAGTGGTTCTGAAGGACCTGGTTCTTTACCGCTCAACCTGTGGGCAGCTGATGTAAGAATGTTATCCCAAGCATCTCTGACCCGCATGAGCAAATGTACAAAGCTTTTTCTTGCACCCAATAGCCTCTTGTTGTAGCCAAAGCAAATGTCCCTGCGCAGTGCGCGCGTGCTTCTTCATGGTCCGGATCATGTCACCCTTGTCCGGGCGGGCGCGCTTGCGCCATCACCCGTGCCACTTTGGAAATCACCTTGGTTTTCAAAAGCGGAGAAGGTGAAAGGTCCCCATGAAATGCATCATGTAGAACTCGGGGGCCAAATCGCTGGCGTGGCCACCCTGCACAAGGCGGTAGGCATGCTTGCGCGCTTCACTTTCATACTGCAGCGCCAGGCTCCATGAAGGATAGCGCCCATCTGGCGACCGGAGGCCGGCAATACGATCTCCCAAAATGTGATCTGAAAGGTTGCGAAACTCATCCAAACACCGCTATGCTCATATGCTGTATGCAACATCTTCAATAGAAATACAAATGTATCGTTGCGCTTTGTCCGCGCAGGCTTGCAGCCAATGGCCAATGTGACAGCCACCTTGCCTTACCGTTCCATCCATACCAAGCCCAGAATTTACGGCGCCACCGCCCGCCACACTGCGGCATACAATTCACCAAGCTACGAGTCACCACCCACAAGGCACCAGTGAGAACACGGCGCTGCACAACACGTGTTCCAAATCGCCACACTTTGCATTCGCAATTCCCTTGCGTGTGCAATGGCAGTGGTTGTGCGTCAGGGGCGGTGCCTATGCATTCGCATGTGTTGTTGACATGCGTGTTCCAACTGCGCGCAATATCGCGCAATGAGCCTGCAATGTGCGTCTCTGGACAAACGGGCGGGAAAGGAGCGGAAAGACGGACAGCGTAGTGGCGGCAATGAAACGGCGCTCCCAACCACTTCATCCCTTCGTGAAGAAGCAATGTGTTCGTGCGCGCAGCCCAAAAAAACAAATTGCAGCTGCAAGTGCGACAATTGTGATGGTGTAATATCTAATATTGTGTATCATCGTGTATTGATATGTGAAGCTCTATGACACGGTGGAACCCAAACCGTGCTTTCTGGCAAATCAGGGAAGCCATGGGAAACTGCAAACTATAATTTAAGCGCAAACGGTCACAAAGAAATATCCATGCCGCAAAAGGGTCGTAAACAGCATCAATTGACTGATCCCCATTGCCCGATCGCGATGCGAACCAAAAAAAAGAGCGACATTGAACGCCCGAGAGGCTTTTGCACTCGCTACGCGTTGTGGAAGGGTCAGTCGCCACCAAATAATTTCCAGCAGCAACTTCCAGGAGCTTGGCCCAAATCCTCAGCAGTCGCGGGCCTGAGCCTATATAAATGGGAAAGTGTGGCTGACTCTGAGAGAGAAATTGTATTTCGCTGACGACCGAGTTGCAGTTTCATGACGTGTTTCTTGGCGCGGCCTTGCGGCCAGCACCTAGTAGCTTCTTGCTCCTAGAAGCGATGCCAGGAGCCCCTAGTAGCGTCCTTGCTCCTAGTAGCGATGGCAGGAGCGCCTAGTATCGTCCTTGCTCCTAGTAGCGATGCCAGGAGCCCCTAGTAGCGTCCTTGCTCCTTGCTCCTAGTAGCGTCCTTGCTGCGAGTCCTTGCTCCTAGTAGCGATGCCAGGAGCCCCTAGTAGCGTCCTTGCTCCTAGTAGCGACGCCAGTAGCGCCCTTGCTCCTAGTAGCGACGCCAGGAGCCCCTAGTATCGACAAAATTGCTGGCAAGAATCCAATCCTCCGACCTTTCCGTCTTTCCGTCGCCGTTGCTGTCATACGAATGCCAAGGGTACGGAGTCGCAACTTGCCCAACCTGATGCGGGCCCAGTTCAGGAAACATTTGCAGTCTCTTGTTTCTTCTCTCATGTGTGTATATATAATATATATAGTATACGCCTACTTGAGGTTATATATTCCCCTGCTCACGGCAAGCACGTGTGAGTTTGTGCCGGAAAGCAAGGCGCAGTTGATGGTTTTAGGTTTGTACACTGCACCTTAGGATGACTGGGTCGGTGAAGCGCGGAGTATGCATTGTAGCATTCTCTCTCCTTCCTGCGAACCAACTTGCTATTTCCATGCCAAATCGCGAGCAGCGTATCCGGAGAACGGCGAGCAAGGATTCCACGTGGTTCGGACATCTTCAGTTGAATTGGGCTTATAAGTAGTCTTGGTGGCCCTGCAAGCCGCAACCCTTTGGCCAGCTGACCAGACTGATCCTGAAAGGACTTTACAAGCGTTTGCCAACCCAGATTCTGCCGGCGTTTTTGGACACCCATTTTAAGGCGCAGCGCGCCGAAAGGTTGCCAGCAGTGGCGACATTGTCCATAGCAGAATGTATCAGTTGTATGCAGCTTCAATATGCTCCAGTTGGGGAAACCAATGGTTCCTTGATTTCAATCGGGCGAAAGTTGCTGGAACATTTCGTTGCAAGTGTCTTCGCCGATTGGGAATCACCACCTTGAAAGGTTGTTCCGATGCAGCTTCAAATCCAAACTTTCATGATGCTGCACCTTTGCGCTATTTACTTGCAGCTGTGCTGCACAAAGAATGGACAAAGCTAGGTTTGCAGGTGGCTAAGCTACATAGATACAATAGCTCCGAAATTTATTGTTCCGCCCTTGCGTAGGGACCGTGTGTGTGTACCCCCTTGGAATCATAGGGATCCTTTCGGATTGTTTCGCTTTGATTTTAATTTTGAAAGAGCAGGGGGCCGGAGCCAGGTGGGGGGTCTCCGGCCAACGAAGACGCCCCCACCTGGGTGTATATAAACGTACCTGCACTTGTGACAGCACTCCACTCTTCCACCGCTGTGGAATGATATTCCCCTAAACCTGCCTTGGATTTCTTGTGTACTGCAGACCTGTGCGCTACGTCGTCATTTGTCGTTTCGGGATCGGCTTGAGCTTGTGGTTGATGAAATGGAAATCTGCATTTGATGGCTAGAGCAGCTCGCACCGAGCGTAGCAGGTTTAAGCCAAAGATACTTGCCAAGACCTGACCAATTATTGAATTCCAAGCTGGCCGCCTCCAGGCATGCTTTTAGGTTACCACAGCGGTCAGAGCGGCCAGCCATTTTGGCACGGCGTACGTGGCCGCAGCGGCCGAAGCTTGTTCAAGGCTCGTTGGAGCCTGTCCCACTCTTAGGTGCACACACGGCGTTCACATGTAAACGAGGTCTGCCCAGGTGTTTCTAATGAGGCTTGGCTTCATCGGTTCTCGTCCCCTCCATTGGTTCCTGTTCATCCTTTTCCCCTTCACATACATCTGCTTTCATCTTTTCTTTCATGTCTTCCTATCTTCATGCCTTTTCATCTCATCTCTTTTCTTTTTTTGCGCGCACATGGCCGGGCCCCTAGTATGTTTGTGCACAACCTACTTCAACACAGGTTTTGGGTCGCCGGTCTTTACAATGAGGTGGGTTTTCATCGGTTGTCCCTGTGCACTTGGTTCCCTTTCACTGCAACCACACTTCGAACTTGGGTTTTTTCAGTTAACGCAAGTGTCTCGGTGAGAAGGAAGGCGATAGAAC